GTTTGATTGTTTGCCTCTGTCTGTTTTTCTCCTGAGTCTGTGTGTCTGTATGTTTGTCTGTCTGTCTCTTCTGTTTTTTCTTAATGTTTGTCCTCTCTTTCTGGGTCTGATTGTCTGTCTGTTCGTCTTTGTCTGTCTGTCTTTGTCTCTTTCTCTCTGAGCCCGTGTCTCTGTCTGTGGCTCTTGATGTGCATCCCTCTGTTTCTGGCTCTGTCTTTCTGCGTCTGTCTGTCTCTATCTCTGTACCGGCCGCTGTTCTGCACATAATAAAATCGTGTGGCCACCACACACATTTGCTGTATATTACCTATGCGTGGGACATTCACACCCAAACACACACAGACACACCCACAAATACGCACACACATACACACACACGCACAGACACACACTCGTACGCTCGATCATACAAGTACATGTAGTACTGTAGAAGTCACGTCAGAGATATTATTAAAACGTTGTCCTCTCTTCTCTCTGTCTCTCTCCCTCTCTTCTCTCTCTCTCTCTTTCTCTCTCTGTCTCTCTCTCTGTCTCTCTCTCTCTCTCTCTCTCTCTCTCTCTCTCTCTCTCTCTCTCTCTCTCTCTCTCTCTCTCTCTCTCTCTCTCTCTCTCTCTCTCTCTCTCTCTCTCTCTCTCTCTCTCTCTCTCTCTCTCTCTCTCTCTCTCTCTCTCTCTCTATCTCTCTCTCTCTCTCTCTCTCTCTCTCTCTCTCTCTCTCCATCTCTCAAGAAACCCAGCTTCTCTTCACGATCGGCATCACGAGCAATGACCATTATCAGCCAGCAATGTTACTAGAGCAAAGGCGCTGGCGTGAACAGAAAGCTTTTCATGCAGCACCGTTTCTTTCTCAGCAAGAACAACACTACAGTACTCGTAGTAAAATCCCAGCAACGTTTCTTTCTCAACAAAAACAAGAATATAAAGGAAAGGAACAAAAAAGGAGCAACACCAGGCCATATGCATACCCGGTAGATCTACCCAGGTGTGTCGACCCTGGCAAGGCTCTCCCACACTGCACAGGCACAGATTCCAGTACAAAGGCCACTGCCAAGTGTCCCACGGAGATGCGGTCGCTTGCCCGAACCGCTGGGACGCGGACACCTGCGAAGAGCAGCCTGTGACGTTTATTTTTTTATGAAAGAAAATCCACAAAAATAGATAAGCTTGTCCCTTTAGTCCTACCCATTTTGGGTAGCTGACGAAAAAGAATCAAACGACCCACGTGCCCTTTGCTAGGCTACGACCAATCAGCAGCCTTGGAGAGCGGGCTTTGATATTCCATCAAAGCCTGCTGTCACGGGCAACCTGTACGAGAAAACCATCAAAGACCGCTGCCATTGGCAACTGTACGACAAAACCATCAAAGCCCTGATCATGCCCAATCTCAGTCTTTTCAAGGTGATCTGGCTATAAGGCTGCGCTTACACGCCGGACAGTAATTAAACAACAGGAAGAATGGAGATAAATGGCTGTAAAATACAGTCTAATGTCGAGCCAGACGCGCCTCAGCCTGGACAAGGTCGACAGGCGCGACTCTGTGCGAGGTCGAAGCGACGACGGCGAACAGAGCGTTGGTTGGGTGGTTGGTTTTTATTTTACTTTGCACATTCAAACGGGATGACGACCCAATAAAATGACGGCGAAGGCTTAGCCTACAGTCCATTCATCGGAAACTGGCCCGCTGGCTTTTGAAAGTCGGATTTGGGCCGAATTGAGGATCAAAGCCCCACTTTAAATCTCAAAAATCTGGGTTTTGGATATGCTTCTCCATACATTTTGCCATGGCATACCTGTCCTAATTTTGTAAAACCTGGCTGAATTTCTATTTTCCTATTCTTGGACTTTTCTGGCTCAAATGTGGCGAGGAGTAATTGCACGGGTTACACAATGCAGGATGTACTGTTGTTTTCACGATATCTACAACTATGTGAGAGAGACACCAAAAAGTTAGGGTGCCAGTTTCCAATGAATGGACTGTAGAAGTGGCTATGGAAGAACATAGTAAGAGAAAAGAATACTAATAACTGCGAATGAATGTATCTGTGATACTGCGTAAGGATAACTGAACTGCACGGGGAGGGAGAGCAGAGCAGAGATATCAGCAGCAACTCGAACTAGTCCCTCTACAGGCGTATGGTACACATGCATGCTTAAACTCAGGTAGCCGGGTAATTGTGCGGACCTCACCAGGGAGAACATTCCACAGCAGAGCACCAGCAACAGAAAATCTCCGCTGAGGCTACGGTTTGCCTGGCTTACGAGTCTCGTAGTAGGCCATTTGACTGCTGATGGCGGGTAGGGATGCCTTGTGCCAGAGTCAGAAGCTGGGCGAGCACAGGGCTGGTGCGGGTGTGGATACAACGCCAGATGGTGATCATTATTTTCTGCCTGTGGAGCTCGCTGACATGGTACAGGGAGTGAGCAGCGGCTGCAGGGCTGTCCGGGGTTGCCATCGATACAGCGGATGGCTCTGTTTTGCACGGTTCGCAGTCGTTTCAGTTGACGCTCTCGCATTGCCGCTGAAAAGCAGCAGGCGCCATAAAGCAGGTCGGGCATTATGACCACCTTCACATACACCTGACAAGAGCGTCTTGATAGGCTTCGGCGTGCCCGCCACAGGGCGCCAATTTTCTTGGCAACCTTGGTGACCACATAGTTTACAAGGGTGTCCCAATCTAGGCAATTGTCAAGGTGAACGCCGAGGTA